CTCTGCCCCACTCTCCTGTGTGTGATGTCGAGAGATGTCGAGTGCCTGTCTATATAAATCAAAATATTTCACAACGCAGCGTAAACAAATTTGTTTCAAGAGCTCGCAGCTCAGGTCCACGCCGTCAAAGGGTTCGTTTTCGTTCTATGTTTGTCAAGGATTTGTTTGCCTTTTGTTGGCAATTTGCTTTACGATTCGTTGCATTCGCCATTAGTTGCGCCAATTAGAATAGTTCCCGACACTCTGCCATAGTGCGTTGAGAAATTTGAATTCTGCCACATCATTTAATTTTAAATAATTTAACAAATGACACACTACACCCCTTGCCTTAGCCCCTGTGTATTCAGTACCCCTCTTCATTTTCGGGGGGTGTGGAAATTTGTAAATTATTGCGCTGCATTGCCAGCGGCTCGACACTTCCTCTATGGCAATCACAACCCTAACAGTTGATGTCCCAACCCAACCCATCAGATCTCATGCCTTGCCATCCCATACGATCCGTTCTTCCCGTCCGTGTAACACGCGAATTTGAATAATCTTTTGTTGCTGCCTCGCAGCCAAATGATAAATTATTAAATTAGCTGTGGCAGCAGTTTTGCATGTGTATTGTATCGCCTGCCCTGCCCAGCCCCGTCCTGCCCTGTCCTTGGTGGTGGCTGTGATTTGTGCGTGCCTCAACCGAGAATGCCACAGCCGAGCAGTCAGGCACTCAGGCCTGCAGTGTCAGTGTCTTTTTTGCCTTGGGTAGTTAAATTGAATCGTCTGGGGACAAGTTTCTAATAGAGTAAAAGGCAGTTGAGAATTGTCTCGACTCTCTCTCTCTCTCTCTCTCTCTCTCTCTGCCTGGGTCTGGTGCGGTGGCCCAAGAACATTTTATTTTAAATTGCCGGGCTGGTTTTTGCTAATTTGCCTTTTACATCGAACGACCCCGACCCGACTTACACTTAGCAGAATGCGCCAGAGGAAATTGAGTTGGAGTTGCCATTTTGTTTGCATGCCTAAGTGAGTGCCAGAAGGGAAGATGCGAAATGCACTGAAGAAATAGAAGGAAGTTCTCGGTAGCCACAAAAGTTCTCTAAATTCGAATTGCTTCAACGCATTTTCTTTTAGCTTTTTAGAATAAAATATCTGCTCTTCCAGCTGCAATATTTCTTCGAGTGTATTTCTGTATTTTGTGGGGTCTCTGCACACTTGTGTACCCATTTGCCATGCCAGCAGGACAATTTACAATGTGTTTTGTTCATTATAGAACTATTCCCGTTGACCTCCACGGCCCGCCCTGGAAAACCAGCTCAAGGCGCAAATCAACGCACTCAAATGTGGCCGCTGTCGCCTCTGGCTTTGGTCCTGGCTCCTGCTGATTCTTCCTGCTTCCGTATCTCGCCACACGAAGTTTTTTGAAACAAGGGTAGCTGTGTATACCCCCGACTGGGATGCTGTGGCTTGGTCCTTGTTGAACCTTTTTTTGTGTGTAAGCCCCTTGCCGCTTGCCTGCCCCTTGGGGTTAGCTAATGAATAGTTCCTGTTACCGTTTGCCCAGATTCGAATACGGATTCGGAGTCGGCGGCGAGCAATTTTCAAACACATTTGTTGTGAATTACATTGTTTGTAGTTTGGAGTGTCGACTTGATGCACTTTAATTGATGTCAATATGCAGCGATTTTTCCCTCAGTGTGCCCGAGGGGTGGTGCGGCAGAATGGGTAAACAATTTGGTGGATTGCATTTTGTTTGTTAACAAATATTTACACTTTTTATGCGTGTACGCGATATGAACGTGTATCTGATAAGGGCATCTGGCCATATCGAGCCCGGCTGGATGGGTGTGCACTTGGCAGGGCTCGGAATATGCAAAAGTATTTGCGCATATTAAAAACTAATTTCAAGAGTCAACATGCCAATAAAAACAACAAAGTTCCAGCCGGGAGGGTGAATGTGGATGCCAGCCAGCAGGTACTCAAGACGCACCCCTTTTGCATGGCTTTTGCCAGGGGCGGCAGTTGGGGGAGGTACACCCACAAATTAAGGAAAAGGCACTCGATTCAGACTCCGATTTCCGAGACGACTCCCCCATGGCTGGCGATAATTTAGAAAATATGCTTAGGCGAAAATGTTAAGGGTTGCTTTGCTCTGATTTTGTGATGCCAACCAACCAACCAAAATGCGGGTGGCCCTGGGAAAATGGTGGGGGGTCTGGCTCTGGGGTGGCCTGCACAAACAAAAGCCAAAAGTTATGCCGAAAATGATATTTTTCATTATTAAACACAATAATGTGGTTATTATTTTTATGATTGCGGTGGCCCGACAGCCCACAGCCCACAGCCCGCTCCTGGCGTATTCCTTGGGGAAGGACGGGCCCCGGAACTCTGCTGCATTCATTCAGTTAGTTTGTTTATGTTGGGCTTGTGGTCTTTGGGGATTTGGGCACGCTTAATTTTAAGTGCCCCGTCGAAATGGTTGAAACGGCAACAGAAACAAAGCAAAAGCGCAGCATGTAATGAAATATTATGCCTTGACCAAGGAGTAAAAGCTGCGGCAGTTTACTCTCTTATTTGCCAGACGAACAGCCAAAAACACAAAGAAAAACATTTGCGACAAATGGTTTTTCTGGTAATTAAAGAGGGGGACAATCGAATGGAATGGTACGTAACGGAGCTGTTCTATTTTAAAGTATTCTTTACAACAAATCATAGCACGCTCCCTAGACTTCCCCTCGCCGCATGGCGTAGAATTATGATCCATAACAGCAGCCGCAGATGGAGATTCGATTCTCACGCCTAAGGCCAAAGCGACGGAGAACGACTCTAATAAGGCAATTAATCAATATAATTACCAGCGATTAATCATAAATCCTAGGCTGAGTTTTCCCAGCCAAACGCGTTGCCACCGTTGACAGTTTTGGGCGTTTAGCAGAAACTTTAAAAAACTAAATTGGGAACTCGAGGCAAATAAATCAATCGAGACACGGGCCCCGCCAGGATATGCTCACTGAACTGTGAGTGTAGAGCAGAAGCAAAGGCAAATCCATCAATCGCCTCCTCTAGAAAAAAAAAACTGTCAAAGCCACAAAGCAACATCTAACAAATTCCTGTAAATCCTTGCCGACCGTCGACTCCTTCCTCCATTCGAGAGAGATTTTTTCGGCTGCTGAGAGGGGAGAGTGAAGCTGCTGCTTAAAAATTAAACAATCTTTTTGAAGGTTGCTCCGACGACACCCTTTCAATGCTTGTCATACGCTTAGCATCTCATTGACCCGTGGCAGTCTAAGAACCCAGCCCCAGCCGCAGCCGCAGTCGGAGAAAGGCAGCCCATCTCATAGTGTCAGCTAATCAGTTTAAAACGCTGTCATGCCGCACTCTCACCCTCTCAATGTCCGTGGAAATGGGTCTTCCTTGCTGTCTCTCCGTCTGCGTGCCTGTCTGTGGGTTGCGGCACATTTTAATTTGTAATACGAGTCGAAATTGGGTGTAACTTAGACACGCAGCCATGGGATTCGGGTGTAGATTACTCCCAACAATGTACATCCATATGTAGGTGGCTGCTGTCCGGATGAAGTGACTCTCTGAAACTGCCACCTGGGGGTCTGAATTGGAGTAGCTGGAGAAGCGGATCAAACCACAAACAGACACATGTGTGAAAGTGTGACTAAGGACTCGCTGTGGGAAAATGTGGCGTCTGAGAAAATGCCAAATGAAGGACATAGTTATAGTCGTGAATAATCAGACAAGTGTCCTGTGATATATGAGATCGGGAAAAACCTATCCAGACTCAATTTCGATTTCATTTCGATTCTGCAATGCTCAAGATTCCCACTCACCTGTCGTTCCATCAGAACTGTTGTGGCCCAAAACGAGTGTGCAACTAAAATTAGCATTTAAATTTATGCAAATTAAACAAGCAGCTCCCACTTGTAGCCCAGTCCTGCGCTCTGGCGTGCACCAGCATTTGCTCACATGTCTCACATGTCTGCAGCTGAATAATTTAGCGACTTACATTTGCAGAAATTAACGCACACCAACTTATTCACAGATACACAAGCGAGAGTTTGCACATACTCGTAAATGTATATGTGGGTGCAAATAGGATTTGTGCGACTAATTGCAAAGTACTTAAGCAAAAGCTTCAAACAAATGTAAAAGCACCAAATGTTTAATAATTTATTTAGCGAGCAAATGCAGTGGCCAAGAACCAAAGAAATTCCGAGTAAAAGCAGCAGAAAGAAGTCCAGTAAAGGAAGCAGAAAGAATTCCTGGAAATGTTTTCGCTTATGCAACTTTTCACAGAGTGTCTTTGTCTATGGTAATAGACATAAAGGGATTTTCCGGGGGTATTCGCTTGCTGTTCTGTTCCCTTTGTGCACCGCTGTCGCTGTCAGCTCGCAGTCAGTCGCAGTCAATCCGCATTGAGCATCGAGCTGGCAGCGGCCATGCATGGATTTCTGTTTCAATTATACGCATCTTGGCTCAGACCTGGGACGTGGACAGGCAATTGCGGTGCTGTTCCGCTTCTGGCGATTATAATATCAATGGGTGAGGTGTGCGCGCGTGAGTTTATTCATTTGCTTGTCACTGTTTTGACAACCTCTTCCTCCGACCACCCAGAAAAAGATCTGGCCCCGCTCGCTTGGCATTGTATCACACAAATCGGATTAAGAAATTTCGTATTCGCATTCGTTTGCCACATAATTGAATGGCCGGGCGAGTGACTGACTGAATGAGTGTTTGGGTGGTGTGCTCAGAGTGTGTGTGAGTGCTTGAGCCGCTCATGGCAAATGAGAAGCAAATTTAAAATTTTACACTTGACTTAGCATTGTTGTCCTGCCATTTCACACGCCTCTGTTCTGTGTCCTCTGCATCCGTATCTGTATCTGTGTCTCTGTGTCTCTGCTGCTCTGCGATAAATTGTTTTATCCCTCGCACCCTCGTGAGTACAATGGATATTCGGCAATGTGATTTAAGGATACGCTTTGGTTTATTTTGAAAATGTTTATTTTTCACTTGACATTTATGCAATTTTTGGTTTGCTCTGCTTTTGATTTTGCTTGCCACTTAAACGCTACAAGTAATATTATAATTTAATTCTAGATATGGCATTCGAGGTTCTCTAAGCGCTAGCATATCATATCATATCATATCATATCGTATCTATGGTTTATGTTTATTTTTCAAACGAACTATGTACAGCAAAAATACAACTAAAAACTAATGTACTAGAGACACTAAAACACACACTTAAAGCAGTTCGACATTTACAAGATTTATCTGTTCGTTCCCCCGCCACTGGGGGTCCTCGTCGCCTCGGGCGGCTTCCCTCGCTTTTCGAAGAGTTGCAACAAACGCTGTTGCATCTTGCAATTTTATGAGTGCGAGTGGCTCAGATGGTGGGCGCCCAGAGGATGGAAGTAGGGTCCATAGGGTGGATATGGCACAGCGTGCGGATACAGCAAACTGCTCGCATAGGCACCGGGTCCATAGGAGCCGCCCGCTGGTGGCGGTATTGTCGGACTGTTGACATCCATGCCCGGATTCTGTTTCTTCCACTTGGTGCGACGATTCTGGAACCAGATTTTCACCTGAGCAAGCAAATTTCAATAGAAAATTTAACGATCTGTGGATATGTTTGATTATGTCCAAGGGGAACGGAACGGCTGCTCACCTGTGTCTCAGTCAGGCTCAAGCTGAGTGCTAGATTCAGTCGCTCGCAGACGCTCAAGTACCGCGTGGTCTTAAATTTGTTCTCCAGCGACACGAGCTGCTCGTAGGTGAAGGCGGTGCGGGCACGTCGTGGCTTGGAGCCGCCACTGCCGCCGCCACCACCACCACCGCTGCCAGACTTGCCATCGCCGTTGCGGCTGCCGCCCTTCTTGGAGTCCGTCTCGCTGCTGGGATCATCAATGTCGCTGCCATCATCGCACATATCATCCTGATCCATGTCATTAAGATCCTGAGCTGCAATGCAGAGAGAGTGGGAAAGAATGATAATTTTTGCATAAGTCAACAGACCTCGAACGAGTGGCCATCCATCAAGGATGGCCAGTGTCCACGATTGGCAAACGGATATGAAATCAATCACCTCTGAGCCACCACCGCATCATTGTTGAATTAATTGGAATTTTTCGGCGCACATGTGAATGGCTGATGGACCGGGCAGTAGCTTGGGATTGGATCAGAGTTGATTGCAATCGATACGGCAATCAAAATTCAATTAAGGCAGCGCCCACACTGACCAACTGGCGAGCACTGTGGATGTTGCCACATAGCGTAATTCTCTTATGGAATCTCTTGACTGCACCTTTAAGAAACCAAACCCAACCCAGACAACGGATCATGCTTAAGGCCATTAAAACTTTGCTTGTTAACAAATTTCGCTGCGGGGAGAAAAGCGATTGGGGGCAACATGAAACGGCAACCCCTTGAGCAAGTCAGGCGATAAAAAGGGTCGAGAAAAGTGTCAACCCTCCATCAAAGATGTTTTTCGTCTGCATGGAAAATGCATGGCCCTGCCCCGGTAATTGGTCAACATGATTGGCCATGTTTGCATGAAATTAGATGGGGCAGAGAGTGTAGGCAGATGCGCCTAAAAGCGCACCACAGACAGTGCGCCAATTAAACCGAAAATTTACGTGAACGCTTCATTTAATATTTAACGAATTTTCAGCGGCCAGCGACAGACAGACAGACAGACAGACAGACAGTCAGACAGCCAGACAGACGGTGCCCCATTATCGCTGGTAATGGGCTGTGGAGTGTTTGCAGCCACTTTGATATGCATTAATGGCACATTAGATGCCCGTCAGCCGCCGCCGCATCGTCCTGGCAGCCTGCCTCATCAATACCTAACCGAATGTGAGTCGACGACTGGCCCTGACCACAATGGGTTTGAGTCAATTGAATTACCAGCATCAAAAACACACACACACACACACAAAACGAAAGGGGAACCAGCCAACGGACTGACTGGCAGTCGGAGGCTTAATGCGCTGGCAAACAGAGCGCGGAAAAGTCGAAGGGGCGAGAGCCACTGGCCACAGCTGGTTAATAAGCGTTGCAACCGCAAGCGGGTAGGAGGTGGGAGCGCCTAATTACGATGGCCATTCAACTGAACGCTGCAACATGGCGAATGCGTAATGCCTGGTAGGGCGGGGTGAGGGCATGCAGAGCCATTTGGCCAGACAGGCAAAAGTTCAATATTTACAGCTGACTGTGAGCCGACGTTTAATTATACTGAAAGGATTATGCATATTTACGGCAAGTAAGCCAGAATCTGCCAGTGTGTGAGTCTCTGTGTGTGTGTGTGTGGATGTAATTGAGAGTCGACTCTCAACTTTGGCCAAGAATAATTCAAAGTTTCCACAACTTGCGAGTCTTGGGTCGTCGTTTAGTCAATGGCCCCTCATAAAGGGCTGATGCTGATGCTGATGCTGATCATCATTATATGGCAGAATCGTGTGGCCTCTGTTCTGCCTCTGCCTCTGCCTCTGCCTCTGCTTATCTGCCATTGCCGAAAATGACTGCAGTTAATTATAATTACTGGCAGAAGCACTTCATAAGCAATTTTGAAGATATGATGGAGCCGAAAGAGAGAGACACAAAGGCTCATATGCACAGATGGAATGCTCGATGGAGCAATTTTGAGCAGACATCGAGTGGAATGGTGTGTGGCGTTACAGCCATACAATTTAAACTTAATTATGAAATCCGAGTGTTAATTACCACAAACTGGCGCATAATTTACCCACCCATCCACCCACCAGCAAAATGGCTTATAAATTTGGAAGTTCTTTGTGGCACTGGCAATCATTGTAATCGCATCCCGTCTGGCCAATGCGACCCCTGGGAGCGTTTGTCGTCTCATTTTGCCATTTTCATAAAATAATAAATGAGTTGCTGATGGACGAAAAATACTCGTAAAAGCGAGTGCCGAGCTCCACCACCCAGGCCCGTGCCCTCGAGAAATTGTCGCACAGCCAACCTTCCTTTCGACAGACACACACACACACACACACACTCACACACACGGAGAGAGCGAGTGCTCCCCCGAGTGCCAACACTAATACATATGCAGGGGAGAGCAAGCGAGAGCGAGAGAGAGAGAGAGAGCACGCTTGCCAAATGGAGTGCTGCAAAAAGAATAAAAGTTTCTCGCAGCCATTTTACATTTTTGTGTGTGTGTCGGGGGTTGGTTGCTGTTGCTCCATCCGTTGCCCGCCCACATTTAAATGTTGGCACAGAACCAGTTTATATCCCGCCTTCCCCCCTCTTAGCAACTTACTTAGTTATCGCATGTTTTTTCATATGACTTTTGGGGAGCATTTTCGGCGCTGGTCTGGCTATCTGGATTATGCAGGCAACACGCTGCCACTGCCATGTACGAATTTGTATCTGTATCTACACGGGGAAGTTGTGTTATTTTTGTTGCTCTCTCTCGCTCTCTCTCTCTCTCAGTTATTGCCTAGTTTTGTGTTTGTGTTGGGTTTATGCTTCACTTTTGTTTTGCAATTTAAATGAAATGCAAATTGCTGCCTCTGCCTCTGCGCCTAAAACGGAATGAATGGCGCCTTGGAGAATTGCATGCATGCCGCTTGTATGCGTAATATTTATGAATTATTAACCAGCGCGTTCTGCTGCTGCATTTGCGAAGCTGAGAGGGCGAGGTGGGGTTACGATGTATGTGCCATAAAATCTAATTAGTCGCAATGACAAAAGGCCGCATAATTACGCTAATCCGAAGCCAAGCGAGAGAAGCAGAGTCGCATTAGCACCTCCTCCCAATAGGCCATCAAATCAGAGCCAAGCCAAACGTGGGGGGGGCAGCAGCGCCATTGAAGCGCCTAATGAATGTGCGGTAATTAAGTACCTTGCTAATTAATGACTACAGCAACACCAACATCAACCAACCAACAGTCGTTGAGTACAAGCACGCAAACAGTGCGTATGCGTGATGTACAGATACACAGACACACACACACACACAGAGACAGAATGTAAAGCCCTGTCCGGGGTTGACTGTAAACTTGGGCCAGGCCCGACAATAAACTGCCAGCAACAGCCATGGCGGCGGCTACATAATTATTTCCAACATCATTATCGTGGCAATGTCTACCCTGCCCTGCGCTGTGTCTGCCAGTCTGTCTGCCTGTCTATTTTCCGCCATTCGTATGTTTGCTTACAAGCGGACCAGCCACTTCCTGGCTGGTGCTGCTGCTGGTGCTGAGGCCATTCAGACGCTTTTATTAGCAGTTATGTTCGGAGCGGAGCCCTCGGAGGGGCCACCATTGATGAAGTTAATTGTGTTTTATTAACACAAACACAAATGCACAAACAGAAAAGCCGACAGCACGTACAGCAGGACAGACCAGAATTGGTCGATAATGAGGTTGGTGCTGGCTGTGCGCCATTTTCTGTGTGCTATAATTTTGTACATAAGCGCTTAACGAAGGGCTGCCATCAAATGAGTGCGAGTGTGAGTGAGAGTGAGTGCGTATGCTGGTGTGTTAATGGCACTTTGAAGTGAGTAAATTAATTGGCAGTCTACATATACGCGTACATATATTCACCCCATCCCTTTCAATGTTGGCCAAAGGCAAACAGCCAAAGCGAGCGTCAAAGGAGATCACAGGGAATGGGTTATGGGAACGATCAACCATTTTTTTTCGCTCAAGTTGCTGCAGAATTTCAATTATTTTCCCCCTAACCACAAGCCATTACCAATTAAGTCAACGATTCAGAGAACCCAATTCATAATCAGATCCAAACAAACCGCTCCGTCAATTTCAAAACTTGAGCTTAAGCTCCATCAACCCCATCCACCCGCAGCGATTTATCTTTTTCTACGTTTTTGGCGCTTTGGCAAAAGCTAAGGGCCGCCCGCCCGCCCCAACCCCCCACAACAACTTCAATCAAATTTGCAAATTTTTATTTGAGCAATTTCTTTGCAGCAAGCCGAGCATGAAAATCAATTAATTTTCAGCAAAAATTTTAGCCAGAAACCAGAAGGAAAAACAGCAGACGAAAAAAAAATCATTGGGAAAGCTGGAACCTGATCCTCAGCAAGACAAACATTCGAGGAGAGTGAGAGAGAGGGTGAGAGAGGAGGGGAGGAGGGGGTGGAAGCAAAAAAGGAAAATGTAACTTTTACCCAAAATGCAATGGCTTTTCCCCAATTAAAACATCAATCAATCAATTAAAAGCAATTCTATTGAAAATCCTTATTGGATATGAGTGCATATCCTTTTCTGGTCTAAACAAGTTTGTGTGCACCTCCTGCTGTTGTTTTTTTGCATTGGTTCTCTGGTATTTGCGCATTTGTTTGCCATTGAATATACGAAAAATATAAATGCTTTCATGGGCAGGCACAGGAGCTCTGGGAGCCCTGGCACATGGTACGTGACTGGCAACAGAAAAATCTCTCCAGTGCTTCAAAATGGTGGCACCCTTGCGGATGGTGTGTGTGGGTGTGGACGCAGGCAAAAGCAAAAGCAAATTCAAAATCAAAACATACCTAAAAACGATACAAGCAGCAGTATAAATACAACATGCCACTACCCACCATGGGGTGGCTACCTCCCCCATCGAGAGGCAGAAAGTAATTTTTCAATGGAAGAGCAAAACCCAAATGTTTGCAGGTGGTTTGCTCTCTCGTTTTTATCTCTGTGTCTGGCACTGTCTGTTTGTGTGTATTCCCAGAGACACTCAGGAGATATCGTGTTTTTATCGGATGTGCCTTGAATTCCAAGTGATTTTCAATCAAATCTGGCAACGATTACTTTGTGACTTCCTCAGTGATTTGAGATTTACTGACTCACTCCCACAGGCTAAACATAGTATAAATAAGAAACTCACCAGACATATCCTCGCTTTGATCATCGTCTAATCTCTCGTGCATCTCCTCATCACGATCGTAGCTCCATTGCCGTGGATGTCCGAAAGGATGGCCAGAGGCTGGCATTTTGTTGCCCGTAAACTTGTTGGGATCCAGTATGTTCTCCACTGAGAATGCCAGCCGCTTGGTGGCCGCCTCGCGATCACTGGAGGCACTTGTCGAGGCAGAGTTGGCACTTACTGTGGCATTTGTGGTCACTGAACGTGTCAGATCTACAGGGCAGACCTGGAAGACATATTGGAAATAGATAATATTATATTTGGGTACTGGAAAATCAAGGAAATTGTTTAAATTTACATCTCTGCTGTTCTACTGATCAAAAATATCAATGTTAAAAAAGTATAATAAATCATTTCAAGTAATAAATTGTAGAAAATTGAGTAAATGTTTTTGATTTTAAATCGCTAAACAACCCTAGAAATAAAATCACTATAATTAAAATATTTACACACCTACTTAATGCTTTAATTCAGGTTAATTCTATTTAATTTTACACTTTTTGTATCAAGAGCCAATTGCTGATTTTTCGGTATACACAAAAATATAACTTAAATTCCTAATTCAAGGAACTGTTTCCCTTTTCCCCACACTTACCGACGGCGTGCTGTGTGATCCATCGTTGCTGTCCTCATCGTTGCCGTCCACATTGAGTTCTTCGCTGGTGTCGCTGCGCGCATAATTTGCAGCCGCTATTTGGCGTGAGGTGGCAGCCGCAGCTGCTGCCGCTGCCGCCAGTCCGCCCAGCTGTATTCGGAAGCCATAGTCGCTGAGATCCCGGCCAGCCGGTGAGACGGAGTTCGACGTGGAGCTGGAGGCGGTGGCTGCTGCCGCGGATGTGCTCGGAGCTGGGGCCTGGTTGGAGCGAGCGGCCACAGCGGCCACCAGCTTAATGCGCTCCAAATCCATGTCGCTGGCGGACAGGGGACTCACCGGATGCGGACCGCTGCTTAAGAGGATCTGTGCTGGTGCTGGTTGAATCTGTTGCTGCTGCTGTTGTGGCTGGCTGGAATTTGCGGGAGGATTGGCTGCGAGTGGTCCTGCGAGTGGGGAGCTCGTCGGCTGCTCGGAATGTGTGGCTGGTGAAGTGGGCGGCGACAGTGGCGATGTGGCCGGCGAGGGCGGGCCAGTGGTGCTGCTGGTGGCACTGGGCGCTCTCAGATGGAAAACTCCAGCGCCAGGATGTGCATGCGGATGCGAGTGCGGATGTGGCTGCTGCTGCTGCTGCTGCTGCTGCTGGTGATGGTGATGATGATGATGGTGGTGCATGTGCTGCTGGGCCGCTGCCGCTGCCAGGAACTGTGGATTCTGCAGCAGATGCGGATGCTGTTGCAGCAGTGCTGCGTGTGGATGCTGCAGTGGCTCCGGTCGCGCCAACTGTCGCACGGCACTCAGTTCCAGCAGCTTTCGCTGTTGAGCGGGCGAGGAGAAGTTGTTGATCACAACGTTGGGTGCTCCCAAAGCTGGCGGTGACTGCGATCGACGCAATGCACTGCCATTTATGTTGTTATTGTTATTGTTGTGGTTTGTCAGGCTGTTGTTGTTGTTGTTGTTGTGGTTGGGTTTATCCTTGTCAGCGGGACAACCCTCCTGCGTGGGACTGAGGCGACTGATCAGACTGCCGGACTCGCTGCTCATCTGCTTGAGTCGCTCGATGGAGTAGCGCAGCTCCTGCTCCTGCTGCTTGGCCACCGCCTGCTGTCCAGTGCCGGCGCTGATGATAAACTTTGGTATCTTTGGGGGCGTAGAAGTGGCTATTCCTCCGCCTGCACCTGCCTCCACGTTGCCCAGCTCCGGCGAGGTGTTTGACTTGGGTGAATCCGGATTGGAGTTGGGACTCATTAGGCCACCGACGGCCGTTGGCTGATTGTCGCTGTTGGCCTTTTGCGCCGGCGACTGCAACATGACCATGTTGATGCTGCGAGATGATTGCGTTACTCAATACACTTGCTGACACTTGGAGTTCAATACACTGTTCAAAATCACTGCACGATTCACACGATATGTTGTTGCGCGTTGTGTGTCTTGTCCGCTTGATGGCAGCCAATCGACTGTCCACTGAGGCCGGCGCGTATCTCCCAATATCTGGCGATGCTATCCTATCCGCTTATCCTGAGCGTAATCCGGGGAGCGAACGCGACGACAACTCACACTGCACAGAGCGAGAGCCTGGACCGTAATGAGGGTTGCTCTGGTGTCGGGTTGATAATCCAGCAGATGCGTGGCCCTGCCGCTGCCTCCGTTGAGTGTGTCCCTGTGGCAAGTCAACTGCTAAATGGGGAAGCACACACACAAATCTGTTTTCGGTTGGTGGTGGGCTATTTCGAGTAGTGCCTCTCTCACTCAGTCTCGCTTTCTCTCTCTCTCTCTCTCTCTCTCTCTCTCTCTTTCTCTCTGGCAGCACTACACGCCCCCATTGAGTGGGTTCTGGTTCATTTTTTTGAGTGGGATTGACTCCTCCTTTTCCGTACGGGCAGGCGGGTGGTCGGTCGTGCTAGCATCTCTAATCTCTACTAGCATCTAATGATTTAATTTGCCTTGCACTCGTTAGCAAATGTAATGGTCTGTTCCGAGTCTAAGCCACAGCCAGCCAGCCGAAGAGAGAGAGCCGTAGAGCAGTGGAGCAGCAGAGCGTCGAGTGGGTGGGTTGGGTACGGCACTCTTTCGGCTCTGCTCTTCTCTCTGTTTTACATAGTTCTCCACTCAACTGTAATAGCTGTAAACCCGAGGAGAACAAAGGCGGACATATCTGGGACTCCCTCTGGACGTGAGGATGTGAGTAATTGTCAAATTATTTAGCGCAAAATTTGTTTGTTTATGCGCTCGGCCGCTTCCGAAATGGATCCCAACTTGTTTCTGTTTCTTTTTTTTCATACATTTTATTTGCTCTCTGTATGTTGCTACTTTTTCTTTTCCATTTTCCATTTTCCATTTCCTTCCTCGGTCGCTTATGCCTGGGTGGTTCCTAGTCATATATGCATGAATGCTTTGTGCCTTTATGGCAGAGGATTGACGTTGGACGGAGGACAGAGAATGGGTGGCAGCTTACACTCTGCCAGATTTTCTTCAGCTTAATTGAATTTTTAAATTTGCTTGCTCCTCTAATTATGTTGCTAATTAGATGGTTTATTTATTTGCTGTTTCTTTCTTCTTATTTTCATCTTGGAACTGAACCATTGTTGGATCCGTTACCCCCTCCATTCACCCTCCACTATCCACTTGACTTGACGACACTTCTTTCTATGTAAAACGGGCAAGTGCTCGAGGGAGACTGCACTCTACTTGGCTCTCGCTCTCTCTCACTCTCACTCTCACTTGCTTTCCCTCTCTCTGCGCTTGCTCGCTCTCGCCAAAAGATTCTTTTAAATTGAACAAAAATTTATATGCGCTTTGGCACAGGCGATTTAATATCGCATCCAATTTGCGGTTTATACGCATCGCAGCAGTGGCCTTCAGTGGTGTTGGTTTGGGTGCTGGGTTGGTTGGAGGGTTGGTTGTCCAAAGGGGGATAGGCTCTTTTGCTCTGCTCCTGTTCTGGACTGAGGACTGAGGACGGAGGACCCAGGCAGGGTTTGAGCGCACAATGGGGCGTATAAGTGACATCGTTAAGTGGACGCAGGACGGACTGGGGCCGAGGATGCTGCTTAATGAACTCCAACGGCAGCACAGAGAAAGGGAAGATGGAGTTTTGGATGGGTGGGCAAGCGGATGCCAATGTGGGAGCAGCTAGATATGCTCTCCCCGCTCTCTCCCCTCTATCCGGTAACTTCTTCTAGCTTCTGCAGCTCGTTTTATTGTTCGCCTCGTCACTCGTTAGCACTGCTCGTGCCCGCTCTTCTATAATTAACCGCAAAACGAGTGGGAGGGGAGAGGGGAGAACTGGAACGAGATACTTAATGAGCAGCTTGTTATGCCGTTTTTCGTTTTAATTAGTTTTAAGATGAACGCCCGACCGCCACGCCGGCCACCAACACCAATCCAATGCGCCAGCCACTCATTTTAATTGGCCCCCCATTGATGGAAGGAATTACATAGTTACATACATTATGTACATAAGAATATGTATGGCATGCATGTGGCATCACTGAGAGAATAATCTCAGCTGCACGTATATCAGAGTATATTTACACCCGCGTAGAACTTTCACTTGCCAGTTTCTCTCAGTGTGGGTAAGTGCTTAACTCTTTTACATGCAAAATTAAATGATGCGCATACGCACGGTAAAACCGCAAATTATTTTAATTGCTTGTCTCGTCATTATTCATTATTTAAGTGCGCTCAAACAGCCCCAGCGAACTGCATATACGGAATACGTTAGTATGTATACACAGACGTAGACATATGCATGTGTATGTAAAGCAATACATGGCTGGCTGTATGTGTGAGTGGGGCAGGAAAATTGGCAGCTCGCCAGACACACACACACACACACACACAACCAAAGGGCCCCACACAAAAGCCGCTGTTTACATAGACATCAAACTTTTTACGCTGCGGAAAAGCGGAAAATTGCTCTGCCTGTCGCATGTGTAATGCCCTCTCGCTCTCACTCTCTGTCTCTCTGGTGTTCTGATGTACTTACTCTTCCATTTAATTAGTGAAAATAAGTATTAAATGAGCAGCTCTTGTTAAAATAAATAGTGCATGCAATGGCGGCAGTTGCTCCACCCCATGCCCGTTACATCCCCGCCCTAGCATTTGCCTTTCAACAGGCTTCGCAAGATTTACAACTAATTAAAAGCCAAACACAGTACACAGACTGAGCCAATCGATGGGCATATCGAAAATCCGCTGACCTCGCGACAAATGCAATTAAAACTACAAGTGCGCGGCCATCTGCATAATTATGCGTTAATTAAATTATTCCCAATTTATATTCTACCATTTATTTCTGCTCTGTCGAGCTTTTGTCCGCCCTAAACCCATGTGCCGCACTGTCCGTGGTATTTGTATATTTAATGAAGTGCGAGCGGTAGGGCCGCCTCGCATGGAGGAGACCGACCTCGACACACTCCCCTTCTCGCTCCTGCCAGAGCAGCGCCCCTCTCTTCGCCTCTCGCTCTCTCTGTTTATTCGGCCATTTTGTTGTTTGCACTCCACTTGCCGTAAGCCACCCACGTTAATTTGTTTGACTAATTAAACTAATGAGCGTTCAAAGTTAATACATAAATTAGTCAGCCAGCTGGGTGGAGCTGAGCAGAGCAGACAGCTGCTGCATTGCCTAAACTCATTATCCAATTTTGCCGGCAAATCGCTTTTTCGCTAAGCTCAAATTTGAATAATTCAGTGATTGGGTTTCAGTCATTCATTCTGTGATTTCTACGGGTATTTTGCAAAATGAGCGTCTAATAATACGAGACTTATTATCGTACAAATTATTAATTTTTTGATGTATATTTTTATATATTTTGTGTAGTTCCCTGACTGCTGGAAAGTGTGTTTGGGGGCGCAATCCACCTTCTGTTTTGCTATAAAGTGGTGTTTTCAGTTGTGTCATACCTATGTCTCGGTATGATTTTGACTTTATTGATTCTTGATCTCCGCTGCACTTTACTGCAGCACGAAGCGATCGCGCATACGTTGCAAGTAGGCATGACGCATATAGGCGCTGGCTAGTCCCTTGATGCCCAGGAACGTTATGCCGCCCAGGAAGATGCCCATGTATCTATTTCCTATATTTCCGTACAGCGTGCGTCCCAGCAGCACTGCAAAGCTGGGCAGACTGAGCGCCACAACGAAGCTGGCCGCGGCTGTGCGCGCTTCCTCGCTGAAAATTACTTGAGCTCCCAGCTGCAAGTTGATGTCCTCAGGACCATTTTCTTCAGGCAGTTCATCGAAGTAGTTGTCGCCAAGCGGGGCGCCGGGCAGTGGCTCACCCTCCTCATCCAGATCCTCTGGCTGCAAGTCTTGGTGCCGGCTGCGGAAGATGTGTAGAAAACGCAGAAATGGTCTGTCCACTCTGATATGGCGAATAAGCAGAAGTCCCGCAGGAATTGTTGGCAGGGCGATTGACGCTAGCGTGGTCTGCTCTTGCAGTAACGTGAGAGTCTCGTTATAGCCATAAATCTGTATCATTGTCAGAGCCCCGAATGTCACCGTCGAGAAAAACAGAACGGTCGAAAGTGCAGCCATGGCCACGCTGGGACACACCATATTCAATATGTCGTCAATCCAGACTAGAAACGCATCGAATCGACAAAGCGGCGGCATCCAAATGAGGTACTTCGTGAGGCACTTAGGGCACGCGATCGGCTTCTTCGGATGTTGCGACTGCAACTCATCGATCCAGCGGTTCAGGCAGCGGTGATGCACCCACTTGTTGCTGCCGCTGCAGCGGCACGGATGCACCCAGTGCGTATGCTGCGACGGCTCCACGTCGCCCTCCAGGCAAATCCAGCACATTCGCTCCTCGTCAAGTTCGTCCATTTTCCTGCATTTCTTTTTAATTGTTCTACTTTTTAGTTGATAAATTTGTTTGGAAAGTTTTGATTTTACGATTTGTCTGTCGAAAAATGAATGAATTTGGCTAATAATTACAATGCCTAAATGTTTACAAGTGACATTTATCTCAACACCTGCCAGTCCGTTAATCTTCTGGAATTTCCCCAATCGAATCTGTGTTGGGCAAATCTGCTTTAAAAATGTGCAACTAAAAGCCCATTAGTACTGCACGGTGTGCCCATTCGTGCGAGCCGTGTTGTTGTTGCCACAAATTAAATATGCTGCGCTAATTCCTCCATCAATTTGCAGCTCATTTCATATGCCAACCCATTTCGCAGGCCATCATCGACACCAGCGCACGTGGTCTGGCCAAAATGCCGACGGGCAGAGACGGCCAAGTGTCCGGAGGGGCCAGGAGCGTGGCCGAAACTAGTTTGCATTCAGCTTGTGCACGTAATTAGAAAATTTCAATGGCTATATGTACCGCCTATGGGCCGAACCCGGAGACCGGCACAGCCGGAGAGAGCTGGATAGCTGGAAGGCAGCGCGTTGCTGGTGAAATGAAAACAAAAACAGAAACGTGCTAATTGCAAATTAATTATGCACGATATTGAATTTGCACTAAACGCAAAAGCGGAAACGGAAATGCCAGCAAGAATAAGAACACAAGCCAGCAAGAGAGAGAGAGCGAGAGATAGAAGGCGAGAAAAACTCGCGTAAACGTGATTTGCATGGAAAATGCAATTAGATTTTGGGCAAATGAAGTGGACCAAGGGCTGGGGCCACCTCTAATGGACGACACGATTAAGCGTGCACAACGGAAACAGAAACAGAAACAGCAACAGCAACAACAAAAGAGGAAGCGAAAGTGGAAACGAAGGCAATGGGCAATGGCTGAAGCAGCTTTTCCGCTGTCACTGCTTCCAGCAGCAGCAGCAGCAGCCGAGCAGCAGCAACCGAGCAGCATCAGCGTATAAACAGCTAAAGTGTTAATTGCCATAAATGCTTGTCATTGTAGCGGTAAACGGCAGTAGATATTTGCCACGTCGCCACTGCGCCAGCGCCCAAACACCCAACCAACCAGCCACCCAGCCACCCATCCACCCATGCTCTCACGAGGAGAGACAGAAAGAGCGTTTAGGCAGCGACAGAAACAGCGACACATCTCAGAGCACTGAGCACAGAGCACTTGCACTCAAATGAATGAAATGAACTGCTAAATTATGCACGCGATTTAACCCTCATTTCGGCAGCCACAACTTAATGCGTAGCTTCACTCCACTGCTCCCCTCCCAGACCCTAGGAACGCCACCCACGCTCTCTCTCTCACTCACTCGCTCTCTTCTCACTCACTGCGCAGCGAACGTCTCTCTGGACACGCCCCTTGGTGCACAGCCAATGAGCAGAAACTCACTCAAAATTCAAGAATTGCTCCTTGACGTTTTCAACATGGCCGCCAGAGAGAAAACACTCAACAGAAGAGCAACACAGAGAGTGAGACAGAGCGATGGAGATGGATACTTTCACTCAACAGAGAAGCAAGGGAAAGAGTGGGATACACTATATGTATGTAAATATATATATATGGATTCGGGGATTTCCCCTGCAGCTTTTTGCTTTTTGGTCCCTTTTGCAGACTTTTTGCACCTTTTATTTTGTCATTTGTGTGTAATTTCGAAAAATGTTGGCGACATTATGACGCCCGTCACAAGTTGGGCTGGGTCGCACGCTTAAGTGTCCTCTAGGGTACTTACTTCGTTAGCAGAAGTTTCTCTCGGCTCGTCCTCTCTCTCTCTCTCTCTCTCTCTCTCTCTCTCTCTCTCTCTCTCTCTCTCTCTCTCCTCTTCTTTGTTGTTGCTGCCACAGTCCTTGTCCCTGGTCCTTCCCCCACCACTAGCTGTCTCCTCTCCCTGTGTCGTTGCGGTGGCGGTGACGGTGGCGGTGTCGGTGGCGTACTACTGTGCTTGTCGTTTTGCGGATATGTCTCTTATTTTCATAACTGTAAATTGCTTTAGATATTAAGTCTGCTGTACACAGTGCTCTGAGTGTGGATTGCCTTATGCCAGCATGGGTGTGGGTGAGCGCTGTATGGGGGGTGGAACTGCATTTCTAGTGGATTGCCTTGTGCTGGCTTGTTGTCCAGCAGGACATTCCCTGGCCAGAACAGAACGCTATGCTCGCATGACACTATGTGTAGGAGCAGCGATTAAAATATACACTTTGAAAGCTGCAGTCATTAGCCGTAACAATTGCCTTTCCCCAAACGAACAACTTTTGTCTTTTTGGCAAAGCAATTAAAAGTGAACATCAGATATGCATGCATAGATTTTAACGGAAATTAAAGCTATGTATTTTTGCTGTGAATTTCGGAAGTAGTTTTATAGTAGGAAAGGAGGTAAAGCTAGGAATAATAATGATTGCAATCATTTCAGACATTTTTTGCATAAAAATATATGTCATTTCTAGTTTTAGTGAAAATTAAGCTATTCACAAATAAACTGTTTCTATTACAAGTCGAATAGTTCGAAGAATAACACCAGGGGGTGGCTGCAGCGTTAACAAAACTTAGGAAGGGTTGAAAGGTCAAATATCTTTTCCATTGTAAAGAAATCTTGGGGTTGTTATATACATTTTAAAATGTATTAAGTTGTAATTCACTCAATTTATTTATCAAAAATATGTTTCATATGTATATTGAACATTTTCCCGCCCTCATGCAGACCACATTGCCAAATCGTTGAAGTTGAATAACAAAATAAAGATTTTAATATGCGCCAAATTGAGACATAAATTAAAGTCACATAATTCTCATTAAAAGGCCGTAAACGAGGCGCACAGGCAGACCTGCAGACCAGACCACAACAGAAGAGAGCAGAACAAAGAAAAGTCTTATGGTCTGGCCAGTAATAAAAGTATATGTACTACCAGTTTGTTGTATATCAAGACATTATTTCCCGCTGACTCTTGGCATGCAGATCAAAGAGCACATAGTTTTGCCCATAATTTAATAGTTTCGAAATACAGAAATTAAGTTCCAAAGCTGACTGCTTAAGCAAATCAAATTAAACTAAGCGGAACACCAAGTGGCCAGCCACTCACACACACAAATGCTAATTGGCAGAGTCTTATTAAAATCAGAGGCTGACAGAGACAGAGACAGAGACAGAGAAAGAGTAAAAGAGAGGGAGAGCCACCCAAGTTGGCGGCGGCTGCGGCACTCATTGCGGCGCTAAGTGGGCGGCGTTCGCTTTTCCCTAACAAACTAAAGGGGAATGGAATGATTTTCCATCTCCTCCGAGGCTGTTCTGTTCTGTTCTGTTCTGTAGGTCTGCGCGCGCAATTTAAGTTGAAATTTATGCGCAGAGTCCGACAGAAAGGGCATTAAAAATGGAAGAAATGCGCAGCTCAATGTGTTAAACGGCACATGTTATTTAAAACAGTTTTTAATGTTTTTATTATTTCGAAACACATTTTTTGCCAGCTTTATTTTGGCACCGGCTCCGGCCATTTGTCTTCGGTGGAGCGTGGAATATTTCTGGCATAAAGAAATTTGTTAATTTCGATATTTGCCTTTGTGTTTGTGATATTAATGATTATAAATATATTCAGCGGCAAAACAAAATCATAAGCCACACAATGCCACCATTCTCTCTGTGTGTGTGTGTGTGTGTGTGGTGTGTGTGTGTGTGTCTGTGTTGTACAATACACGTGCATGAAATATTTAGCAACGCTCACACGAGCTTAGATTGCATAATGCATATTTTATGAATGTTTTCGAGCTTTTCTCCCCCCTCGTTTTGCGCTTTGTTCTTTCTGTGCCAAGTCAGGTCGGGTCGCACAAAAAGTGTGCAAAATAAAAATAAAGTGCGCTGGAAAAAAAGGCCAAGCAGAGCACGAAGGGCCCTACCGAACGAAACCCATTTTTAAAGGCACTGCGGCAACAAAAGCAGCGCCTGGCAGCCCCTCCACTAAGGACAAACATCCAGGACATGCTGCAAAAATGGTTCTTCGGTTGCTTTGGCTTTTGCCACTACACAGTGAGTTGCGTTTTGCTGGCATTGTTGCCATACGGACAGGATTTTTTGGATTTGCAGCATTTCCAATGTTTGGCTTGCTGGCTGACTAACTGACTACGTTCGTGCACCTACACGGTGAGAAAAAGAGCCAGAACAAAGTGCTAAATTGAGTGATTGATAAGCCGATCTGTGGCTGGAAAGAGACCAAAAAGAGACTAACTACAAGAACCAAGTTCAAAGTTAAGTCTTCCATGGTCATTTATTGATAGAAGAAGTCAGTAAAAAAGGTTCAAGAATATCCAAATGGTTGATGGATTCCGAGCTATAGAACATGGAATTCCTAGCCCCATATCTTTTTCCTTCTCTTCCTCCGTTAATTTTCACCAGTTTTGATACATTTTTTTCGTCAGTGTACATCGGAAGCATCTCTGTTTGTGTGGTTTGTGTGATGTCAATCCATCATTTGCCTTAACACCATGATTTGATTTGTTTATTTGGCGAGAGCAATATTAAGAGAAATGAAACACAATTGCCTTTCCTCTACTGCTGCTCTGATTGCCATGAATAAATAATTTTCAAATCAGACACTGGCCGAATCCGAGTTATAGGGGTTGAATGCCTGATTACACTGTCAATTGCGTGAATAGTTTTGCTATCTAAAAATAACATGAGGAAGAATCTTGAATCAAAATTAAAGGTAAGATTTATTACAATGCTTTTTAACTTACAGCTTGGAGTTAAGTGCACTTTCTTGTCACATCGCACACCTGAGCTTCTTCCGTTGGCCATTGAAGTGACAATTTATGGCCAGCAGTTTTTTGGTCTAATAAACTGGAGAACAACAGAGAACTTCCTTTTTAATAAGCTCATAAAGTAACAGGCACTTAAAACATGTTGTTCACAGCATCCAGAAAGAGCTGCCAAATAAGCCGTGAACGAGTTCCGCCTTTTGGCTTCGCCTCCGATGTCAGTGGCACATAAACGTCAGTGCCACATCATCATCAGCTTGGTCCTCAGATGGTCCGACCCAGAGCCACCCCTAGAACCCCATTGACGTTGCCCTGCTGTCTGTTTATAGAAATTAAATGACTTCAGACAAAAAATATGAAACATAAACTCAAGTCAACACTTCTAATATTGAACAACAACGACACAATGAGTCTCGTCGTTCCGCTCACCCCCAAAAACCCCTCTCTCAGCCAAACAAACATAAATCCCGCGGCCACAGTTGGGGGAGGAAGATCTTCTCCTCGGGCTTTTTAACACTTTCGTTTCGGGACGACAATGCGACAGCGGAGATGGCGGGTTGGGGTTGTTAACATATTTTTAGTGTGATTTTAAAAATTTAAATTGTCGTAATCGTAAATTAATTTCATGGCACATAAAAATGCAACATGCCGAAACAGAACCGCAGAGACAATGTCTTTTCGGTTCGTGTGGGATTTGGTTTTGCCATCCTCGACTTGTTGTCGCTACATCTTGCTGATTTGCCCAAATGATACTTTGTTTTATAACACAATATATTCGAAATACGTTCTTCCTTTTCTCTCTTTTATTTTTATTGTATTTTGAGTGTGCTCAGTTGGCGACTGCCGCCAGGCAATTGCAATTTCGATACATAAAATAAATATTGAAATTTCGGGGCTCATTGCTGCTGACTAATTTTGAATAGAAAAGCAAATTATTTAAATTGAAACTCATGTAATATTTAGAGAATGCATTAAAGAGTCATAAAAGCATTATGTGCAACAGATTCGTATCTTAATTAAATGGCAAATTCATGTTGCCTCAACTGCACACGAGTCGCCTGCTTGCCATATTTGTGTCAACGCCTCATAATCATTATGGCCAGCGAAAACGGCGAAAATGCGTCGCCAAATGAATAAACTTTTTATAAATACACATCAAGTGCAATTAGAGGCAGGCCGAGGCAGGAAATGCCAGCATGTGCCATTCGGTAATTGTTTCCTCCGATGTGACAGGCCGTCCGAGGTGTGAAGATCCACTTATTGAACTTGGGAGATCTCTTCCATCTCTCCCATCTTCATTCTTTACTAAATCCAAGCTCTCTGAGGCTTATGCTGCCCCCAAAGCAATATATTTATGATAAATTAATGCAGTAAATGCAACTTGTAAATCTGTCACGCGTCCCAGTAAATCATCCTGCATAAGTAATATGCAGTTTATCCAAGGGACAGCACACATACAAAATACGAACACGCGCAGCCAGCTACGCCCCGCCACTGAACATCTCCGCTCACATTTGTCACACTTGAGGAGGGAGCGGTGGAGATACTCCCATAAGTATCTGCATTCAACAGATGCTCATGCCAGCAGCCAGTCAGCCAGCCAGAGGATGGGGGGGAGTGTGAAATTATGTGCTCGGCAGCAAGGAGGCAGGGCCGCGGCTAATCTATGACAGAAAACATGTAACCGGAGTGCGGGCACCCGAAAATAACCCAACATTTGATTTCGGAGACCTCTTTGCAGCTCTTTATATTGTAATATTCCCAGAGGAAAGTGTTGGGAGGCACTAAAGGGCTTTTGGGTCGCAACCCCACGCCCAATTAAAGCCACAATCAACGTTTTACAATATATTTAGTTGTTCTAATTAATTATGTTGCGTGGCCGCCATGTGCGCCAACTACAATTCGACTCCCAGTCTCTGTCTCAGTCCCATTTCCATTCCGTCGGCTCCTTAAGGGGCGGCACTTTCTTTTTATGAGTGCTCCGCTGCCGGCGAATAAGTGAAGCGTGAACTAATTGAAATTTGTTGCGCTGACATGTTCTACAATATCTGCTTGCAACTGCGTCGGAGAGCGAGAGAGATAGGGACACGAAGGGCGCTGGGTAGCCAGCCTCAGGCCTCTGTCACTCTGTTTCCCTTGTCGATCGTCTCCAGCTCATTAGTGGGCTTCCCGTTGTAGTTATTGTCTAATTTTAATTAATTTATCACATACATAAAATGGCGCAACTTCAGATATTTTACCCCCCCAACCCCACAAATCACTCACACGCCTCGTTGAATGCCCCCAAAAACCAGAGTAGAGATCCCGGGCCACCAGCACCAGCTCCCCATAGAATTGTCTGGGCATAAATTTCCACTCCAGATTCTTGGCATTGCTCTCGACAATCAAAACCAAATTTATGACAAGCTCTTGTCTGCATCTGGTGTTTTGACATTGTCAAACAGATACAGCAACAACGGGAGAACAAGAACAAACAGATACTCCAATAAACATTTGATTGGATCATTTAAATTCTTCAGCAGGTACTACCGGAAATAGTCATTTGACAACGCGCTTTATTCGATCGTGCAAGTAAAAATTGTAAGAAAATAGATTGATGATAAGAAAGTATAGAATGGAAAGTATAGAATGACTGGTGATCTTCAGTGTCCAGGAATAGTTTTACTTAAGTAGTTAGTATTCCATTCCCTACGGTTGTGTATATCCGCCAAGAGCCACACACAAAGCCTACCCAGCATTAACGAAACGGAACCATCGCTGAATTCTGTAACCGAGCATAAAATTTGCGTGCGGCGCTTTGGGGTCGGCTCCGTCTTTGATCCTGTCAAAGAGGCGAAAATAAATTGCTCAATTATGAAATATTAACGGCACACGAGGAACCGAGTCCGAGCCAGAGTCTCAGGCGCAAGTTAATTACTCATTTGTTGATTGTCGACTGTGGTTAATGAAGTATCCAACTAATTACATCTCAAGGCGAGCCAGAGAACACACTCTCCAAGGAATATTCGTGTTCGTATTGAAAAGTGCCGCCTGCGGAAATTGAAAATGCACGCGCTGCCTTCACATGGGCCTCCAGCATCTTTGGACCACAAGTATCGTTATGGATATAGCCTATGGCAGCCAGCTGCCGACTTGGGGCTGGCTGGTGGTGGCAGCAATTTATTACCTTTCCCTTTGACATCTTGACACAATGTGGCCATCTCCCTCGCTCCCCCATAGCCGCCCCATCTCTATCTTTAGGGGCGCTGAGATTACTCGAATTCATCTTTTGACAGTGGAAACTCACCGCAAAGGCGACTAATTAGATTATTTGTCAGTTCCCCTATTGAATGGCATTACTTCTGGGACTTGTACATATATTTTTCTACTAGTTCACTTCTGAAATGTTTCGAATTAGTTGCGATTGTGGCTTAACCGGAGAAGGCAGGCGTTGAAGGCGACATGCTAATTAGATGTTTAATCATTTGGATTGGCCATCATTTTGGGTAATTGGATTGTGCGCAAGCCAATTGACCATCTTCTTGTGTTTAAATGACAAACTTATATATCTGCTATTTATGGAAAGAACAGGTTAAGTAAGCGGAATTGACTCATCATTGTGAATATTACTTTTGTTTCCTATAATTTAAAGAATAATACATAAAGGTATAAATAATATATTTAACAACGATTTGTAATTAACTTTATTGCCGATTTTGAAAACAGTCTGAGTGTCGCCATCCAGTGTTGGTAAAATTAGAAGGTTCTGAGTGCCGCCATCCAGCTTTGGTAACTAAGTTTCTTCTTTCTCTGCCGTTGGTTTGCGGTTACTTGTAGTCTTGGGCGCCACCTACCAACTGAACTGAGAAGGTTGGAAGAACGGAAACCCATAGCGCACTTTTGGTTGTAGTTTTAGTGTAAAGTTCGTGTAATTTCCAACAGATGGCGCATGGTCTTGTAAAATAAAGTTTGTAGTCTCAATGGGTTTTGGTAATTCTAAATTGGCCTAAGATTTGTTATATTTCTGTGTATACAATGGATAAGCTAGTGAAGCTTTCAATTATTTTGCCAGTTCTGTGCCAGAATATTGATTCTATGACCTCTGTTGATGTTGATGAAACTATATACCCAATTGACAGTTAGGCAGCCGTTCTCGCACTCGCACCCGAATATGTTGCACTCAAGCGAGGCACGGCAGCAGTCGGCGCTCACTTTGAAGGACAGGGCCTGCTGGCATACAATGGCTAGCAGGAAAACGATGGAGTGCTTCATGGCTGTTTCTACATTCCAATAATTCACCTCAGTCCATTATTTAGACGTGATGGCGACAAATAAACTTAGATAGCGGGGATGATATATGTAAATATGTACAATACTTTATGTATAGGAGACTTTTTTCGGCTTTGTGAATCATTTCGGAATCTTATTGTGGCAATATTTGCTTGTTGGGATAATGGGGGAAATTAACGATAACAAATGCAATAAAATAAATATCCACGAGTATGTCAATATTTATTGAGAAAAATACGTCAATTATTATTCTTAATCAGCATCGTGTGTAATTTTCCTAAATGTGTTAAAATATGAGGAATCTGGAATTAATTTAAATTTAACCATTATATTTTTATTTTTGTGCATACAATTGATTAGGATTTAAAGGATTATAATATAAACGCGTTTATGTAAATATGTCCATGGATAGATTAGCATATTTTGATTTAAATTATGTATTCCACCTCTGGCCCAGAACCTTAATGTTATGACCTTTGTTGTTGTTGATGAAACTGTTTAGATAATCGCCAGTCAGGCAGCCGTTCTTGCAGGCGCAGCCGAATATGTTGCAGGACCCACGCCCACAGAAGGTGCCCACCTGGGCTCGGCCATCGGCGCAGATTGTAATGGTGCAACTGTCCGATTTTCCATGTCCACCTACGCTCCCGCAGGCCTGTCCGCCATCAACTGTGTAGGTGATTGTCAGCGAGGCGCGGCAGCAATCGGCGCTCACTTCGCTGGCCAAAGCTAGTAGGCATCCAATGCCCAGAAGTAATACGATTGATGGTTTCATGGCTAACTCTAGACTTCAAGTGTTGTATGATCTTCACCTGTGTCCGGTATTTATACCAGCGCAAAATAAACTCAGATAACGGCAGCATTACTGCGGCTTTGTGAAATGTAATTGTGCCAACATTTGCTTCTTGAGGTAATAGAGAAAATTACCGATAACAAATGCAATAAAATAAATATAGACGAGGATGTCAATATTTCTTGAGAAAAAGGCTTTCATGGCTTATCGTGTGTCATTTCCTACATGTGCAAATTATAGATATACATATGTACAATAATATGTATACTCTGAGTGTTGCGACAATTTAGACAATTTAAAATGAGAACTTTACTGGTACCCCCGGAAAGAAAACTACCATGGATTTTAGGAAATCAATTCTATTCTTTATATATTTAATGTTCATTCATTCTTCCAGAATTTCCGAACATTCAGCCATTGAAGTAGCATTCAACAACTCGTATTCCCACCAGCGATTTCTATTCAGCTTTGAGTTTGAACAGTCAGTTTGAATTGCACTGTCCGTACTGAAATTGCTGCGGGCCAACGAGATTCACAGTCAAACGAAAGGAAATTCCAGTTTAAGTTTTTCACCAGGCGCACAGCGGCACACAGCACGCATGTTACATTCCTAAGCCAAACCACTCCAAAAAGCGAAAGTATTTGCATGTGTTGGTGTGCCAGTGTGTGTCTGTGTGAGGGGTGTGTTCGCTTGACATTGTCACATATTGCTTTAGGGGTGGGTTTTGTGCCATTGACGTGGCTGCGATGGTACCCAGTACTGGCAGAGTACTTTGGGCTATTGGAAATTAATCAGAAGATGTACAAATTAACGACCTCAGCATCTGTTTATTCTAAATCCGAGTATTCAAAGGATTCAGCTTGAAATTAAATTACAGATATCCAATGGCTTATACCTAGTTATAAATATTTCTTTAATTGCCTACAAGGAATAATTTTTCTGAGCTTGTACCGGGTATCACATTGTCGAGACACTCATGGGAGTATCTCTCCACTGCATACATCGACTACGCCCAAGTGGGTGGGCCACAGCCCACATCAAACCACTGCGTCATACAGAGCGTTTCAATTAGCGAGTGCGGGCATTGGGTGGGTCCAAAACTGTACCGAACGGTACCCGACTGGTTCTTTGTGTTTTTTGCCAAGAACCCGGGCAAGAACCTCTGCAGCAGCAGCACCAGCAGCAGCAGCACATTAAAAGCGACAGCTACGGACACGTGTCCATCAGCGGTTTTAACCCTTCTTAAGGTAACGCCCAAGGATGACCAGGCGAACAGGACTGTCGGCAGGCAAACACTGCTAGATGCGCACCCACTGCGCATGTCACTGACGGCAGGCGGTCCGCTCCGCAAACTAGGGCGTATCTACGGGGCGGAGTATAACCGTACTGTCGCACGGCCGATTGCCTGCTGCCCGCCCACCAGCTGGGCCGGGTTTGACGTTACCACTGACGTGGCTGGGCCTGCGTCGAGGCCATTACATAACGCTAACAGGCGAGAGCAGTGCGGCTGGCACACCCAAAACCGGTTAACATTTACGTCGTAACTAGGAGCAACCTTAGTGTATCAGGCGCCCAGAACAGCCCAACAAAGGGCGAATTACTACGTCTTTACATTGCTGATACTGCCACTGCTGCCGATGTGGTGGTGGTGGTTTCCTCCTCTCTCCTTTCGACTAGGGGTTGGTTCATCAAGTGTGTGCGACGACTCGGCCTCAAGGTCGCCGCTCACACCATAACTACTCTGCTCTCTCTCTCTCTCTCTCTTGCATGCAGGAGCACGGGCTGGAGCAGGAGCAGGAGCGCACTTCTGGGCACGCTTACGCTTACGCTGCCGTGTCTTGTCTCGTTCTTGTATGCGTGCCACAGCATCGCACACTGAGGCATCCCCTGCTGCATGTGTAGGCCGAAGACACGTGTATTGTCCGTCACATACTCGTACACATTCTTTCGTGGTAGATTTCGCACCAGGCGAACATAATGTGCGCCAGTGTTCCTGAGGGTTCGCATCTCAGCATAATTTCCCGACACGCACAGTTGCCCATGTGTGTGCGGGGCTAATGGAATTAGTGTGCGTGTTCGGGATACGCACACATATGCGCGCATGTGTGTGTGTGTTGCGTGATTATTTTTTTTTGCAAGGGGGTGGACTGGGCTGAGGGTTGCTTGGTTGGGTTCCCTTAGAACTGGGAAAGCTTAACTGAAACGCTTTTTGGGCGAAACAAAAGCTCTGCGAGGTTCGTGGCAAGGATAATATAAATCACAGCTAAATAAAGGATTCGTCTAATCAATGATCGTTAAAAAAATATGATGATATTCGTACATTTTCGAAAAATTTAAAATTTAAAAAATTCCATTCAATTGCATTACAAATAAATTCAAAATTGATTTTACCATAACATATCTTTGTAAGTGTATTTCTGATTCCATCAGGATACTTTCAAAACCACCAACTGCCTCCTGTCAAGAGAGCTCTGACTTCAATTTACAGAATTATTTTGATTCATAGGCTGAACAATTTCTCTACTCTTCTACTTTATAGAATATATCACTCTCTGTTTGCCTTCCAGTGTGTTCTTGTATCTCAATTACTTTTAAACAACCTAATTTCCACTTCGATTAGGGCCATTCCGGTTGCTTGCCTTATCAAGCTCAATAATATTAGCCATTTGTTAAATTGTTTGCACGATAAGCGTCCGAAACATCAACTTTTCAATGCCAAACAGCACAGAACCGAACAGAACAAGGCAAACAAGGACAATTGTGTGCCGGCCAACACTTTAAACAAAGAGGGCAGGCCGAAATAGAAAGGAGAGCCAAGGCAGGGTCCTGGACAATGACAATGACAATGATGATGATGGCACTTGTCATTGTGTGTGATGTTGCTACTTAAAATTGCTTTTATATACATCCACTTCCACACTCACATATATTTGTATGGCTGTATCTGCCACTGAGAATCGCACAAAGCACAAAGCGAGAACAGCGGGAAGACAACTTCATAGGTAGCTGCTTGCCAGCTACCAAGTTGTCATTGCGTGTTTGCAACAAACTGGCGACAAAGCTTATCTCAGATGGACACACACAAAGAGTCACAGTCGGAGTCAGCCCAGCCACTCTTTGAGTCGGAGAATGACAAAAGGGATGGACTCCAAGGCAGTCGAATGGAGGATGGAAGAGATGAGATCTCGCAGACCACTCGAACAGCTGGTTCCATTTGATAGTTTCGTAATTAAACCCGGCAAGTGGCTCTTAAGTGACCAGGAGGAAGATCTGTCTGCTGTCGCTCTTCCACTGCAAGTCATAAATTTGATTGTCGTTTGCACAAGGCTGCGTCGCGTCTATCACGGCATGCCAGCGGCCCAGCCCAGCCCAGCTCTGCCCTGCCCATCCTTGACTCCGGCCATGGTTTGTCGCTTATCTAAAGTCAAAACAATTTTCATATATTTTCCAGCCAACAGCCAGTTACACGACTAGCTTTTCATTGTCCACCGACATGCCATTCCGCAATTAGCATTGGCGTACTCGCAACTAATTTGCGCTGCGGGAGCCTCGTTCTGTCCAGTCCTGTCCAGTCCCGCCTGCACCCACATGTTAATTAACAGCTAGCCCGGCCAGAGCGCCCATCATTTGTACTTAAGTTGAATTTTATTTTGTGAACAATTATGCTAATTTGTTAAATAAATAGGCGCACGCACTGCGAAGTAATGCTTGGAAAATGGTCGCCTCACCGCTCAAGTTAAGTTTAATGGCGACTTTTTTTATTTTATTACCAGCTCGAAGACACAGCCAGTCCAGACATGGCCAATGGCTATTCCAATTAAGTTTGCGTTTGCCATTTAATTACTCTAATATGCCAGCCAGTCAGTCAGTCAGTCAGTCAGTCAGAGAGCCAACCAACCAACGGAATCAACCACCTCCGCCCACGAATGATTTTCCCGTGTATTTTCGTGCGCGTGCCGAGCATGAAAATTAGTTTGTACATTTCCTTGTTTCCTTCCCTGTGCGGACGGGCAGCCAGGCCACACCTCGAATTGATGGCGCCATTTGTTTTGAGCCGCCATTGCTACCAAGTTATCAAAGCTCTTTGACACCCACATTCATTTGTCAAGCCGTCGCCCCAATCTGAATCTGTGCCACAGCGAAATGGAATGAAAAACGAAATCCAAGAGCAGCGGCAGGGGCAGTAACACCAACAACAAGTTGCCTACTTGGCGGCACATTTAATTAGTTTTAACCTCACACATTGGTATGCAAAGCAAGGGCACAACTTCGGCATGATTAAAAACTTTTCTGTTGAGGAATTGGATGGCTGTCAGTTGGCAGCCAATATCAAATCATAAGTATGATAATATTCGTTGACCAAAAAACCACCCAAGAACCAATCAGAGTTTTTATCAACTGGAATCCGGCGAAATTGACTGACAAAAAAGGGAGCAATAGCAGCAAAGGATAGGAGTGATGCTGATGCCAGCAATGTCCTCGACCCATACTAAAGTCAAAGCAGCGCAGAAAAACAAAACAAACAAGAGCAAAAGAAGAAAAAACAAAAAAAAAACTTAAATGGAAAGGAACACACGCCGTCTAGAGCGATGCTGACAGGGAAATGTGAAAAGCAGCAAACAGCATCAAAAGTTGTGCTTCCTTTTCCAGTCTAGTCCGGCGCCTTTCATCTTTTGGCTGCCACCCTGTCACCCTCCTCCACTTTGCGGAGGAGAAGCCAATTTTTGATTGCAAAATTTTGCACCAAAGGCAAAACACATGCATAGGAGAAGGAGCAGCAATACAGGGTACGGGACACAGGATACAACATACAAACGAAAGATGTTAATGCTAATTTAAATATTTTTCGTGACATGGCGTTCACTTTGAGTGTGCCACAGCTTTGGTCGTTGTTTGTCTAATTTGTGTACACACAACACAGCTACAGTTTTCGCCCACATATGCACACAAATGCTTAGTCTCTCCATCTAGTAAGTGTAGTTGCCCCCCGTGCCCATGCGTCGGCCTCTTTGGC